AATACATTTGAAGGCCGGACGTGATAGCTTATGCCTATAATCCCAGCACTTTGGGAGACCGAGGTGAAAAGATTGCTTGAGTCCATGGGTTTGAGACCAGCCTGGGCAACTTGGTGAGATCTCATCTCTACAATAAATCAAAAATCAGCTGGGCATGGTGGCGCATGCCTGTAGCTCTAGCTATGTGGAAGGCTGAGGTGGAAGGATCACCCAAATCCAGTAGGTCGAGGCTTCGGTGGCCGTGGGTGACAGAGTGAGACTCCAGCTCAAAAAGAAAAAAGAAAAAAAGAAAACATTCTAAGTGAACAATTTCAAGTCAGTCACAAAAGACCACATATTGTATGAATCCATTTATATGAAATGTCCAGAAGACAAAGTCCATAAAAACAGAAAGCAGACTAGCAGTTGCCTAGGGCTAGGGGAGGGGAAGGGGGAGGAGAAATGGAGAGTGACTGCTAATGGGTACAGGATTTCTCTGTGGGGTGATGAAAATGTTCTAAAATTGCAGGAACAGAAAACCAAACACTACATGTTTTCATGTATAAATGGGAGCTAAACTAAGGATCTGCAAAGGCATAGAAAATGGTATAATGAACACTGGCAATAAGAAGGGGGAGAGAGGAAGGGGCAGAGTGATGAAAAATCATCTATTAGGTACAATGTGCACAGGTGGAGGTGGTAGGTCACTTAAAGCCCAGACTTATGCGCCACTGTACAAATGTAACCAAAAACTGTTTGTACTCCCTAAAGCTACAGCAAAAAAAAAAGTTCTAAAATGGATTGTAAAACATTTGTATAACTCTGGGATATACAAAAGCCACTGAACTGTACACTTTAGTGAATTTTATGGTATGTAAAGTATATATCAATAAAGTTACTAAAAATCATCAGATGGCCGGGCTCGGTGGCTCAGCCTGTAATCCCGCACCTTTGGGAGGCTGAGGTGAGTGGATTGCCTGAGCCCGCGGGTTCGAGACCCGCCTGGGCAGCGAGACTTCATCTCTACAGGAAATCGAAAAATCGGCCAGGCGTGGTAGCGCACGCCTGTAATTCCGGCTACTCGGAAGACTAAGGCGGAAGGATCACCGGAGCCCAGCAGGTCGAGGCTGCGGTGGCCGGGAGTGGCCACTGCACTCCAGTCTGGGTGACAGAGCAAGACTCCAACTCAAAAAAAAAAAAAAAAAAATCATCAGATGTCTAATGTTTGACTTAATATCTGTCTTCAAAACTGTTAACTATTTAATTATTTAAATAATAATAATAAAGAAGTCAATGACATTAGAAAGTAAAAAGTAAAATGCTCAGAAATATTTTTTTTAAAAGGAGTCAAATATACAGAAACAGGGATTGAAAGTGGCTACAGGGCATGGTGGGGGAAGGAGGAAATGGGGAGAAATAAGTCAAAGGCTACACAGTAGTAGACATGCAGGATGCACAAGTCTGGAAAGCTAATGTACAACACAAGGACTGTATTAGGGATTTTTAAGTAGATGTTAGCTGCTTTTGTCACACATACAAAAAAATGTGAGATGACAGACATGTTAATTTGCTACTATAGTAGCCACTTTACTATCCATATGTATCCCATAACATCATGTTGTAAACCTCAAATGTACACAATAACGTTTACTTAAAACTGCCACTACTCTTTTGTCACAGGGACTAAACATGAAATGCGATAATTTTTATTTTTTTTTTTGAATTGGAATCACACTCCATTGCCCAGACTAGAGTGCAGTGGCATGCTGCCGGCCACCGCAGCCTCGACCTGTTGGGATCCAGCGATCCTTCCGCCTCAACCTTCCAAGTAGCTGGAACTACAGGTGCGCACTACCACAATTGGCTAGTTTTTTATTTATTTATTGTGGAGATGGGTCTCGCCAAGTTGCCCAGGCGGGTCTCGAACCCGTGGGTTCAGGCAATCCACTCAACTCAGCCTCCCAAAGCACAGAGATTATAGGCTGAGCCATTGAGCCCGGTCAAAATGCGATAATCTACAGTCCAATTTCCCAATGTCTGCTCAGTGGCTATGCACTCTGATGAAGGGTCACTATATATTCAGGACTGCAAGGAGCTAGATAAGAAAATCCAAAAACACAGAGTCAAATGGTAATGAGAAAGATGGCAGGAGTCAGGTCTTATGTTCACAGACTCAAGTTTTCAAAGATCATGTTGAGTTTTATAGGGCTATGTTGGAAGTAGCTAAAGGATTTCTTAAAATTTCCTAGGCAGATAAGTTTTTCTCTTTTTGTTTCTACTCCATGAGGTAAAAGAGCAGCTAATATTTAAATCCCAAATCCCACTGTGGGAATAAAGAAAATCTTACATCATTTCGGTCTTTAGTCAGTCTCTCCTCTAATTCCTGGGCTAGTTGCAAAAGCCACCATTGTACCTAAAAAAAAGTATTGAGATTTTAGTCTTTCACTTAAATATTCTAAGTCTGTTAAGAACTACGGTAGGTTTATTCTATTTTTTCCTAAACAGAACTGTGTACCTAAATACTCCCCTATAACTAAGGGATCACCTGATCATAGAACTCTTCTCAGTAGTTTGTTCTGCCCTAGTTAAAGAATTTATTTTTTGTTTGGTTTTTTGTTTGTTTTTAGTCCAAGATTTTAATTTACTTTTCCTGCTAGTATGCTATGATGTGAATTTCAGGAATGTTCCAGCTCTGACCAAAAAACAACAACAACAACAACAACACAACTTGAAAAACAATATTCTGGGCTTTCCAAGTTTTCACTTACTGAAAAAATGAAAAATTACATTTCATTCCTTTTCAGATGGAAGAAAGAGAAAAATGTAATAAATCACAAGTTAAACTAGTCCAATTTTCAACACAAGGAAGGAAATTCTGTTCTCTTCACACTTTATAGAATAAAGATCCCTCTGGGCACAGTGGCTCACACCTGTAATCCCAGCACTTTGAGAGGCACAGGTAAGAGGATTGCCTGAGTCCAGGGGTTCGAGACCAGCCTGGGCAACTTGGCAAGATCATGTCTCTACAATAAATTTAAAAATTAGCTGGGTGTGGTGGTGTGTGCCTGTAGTTCCAGGTACTTGGAAGGCTGAGGCAGAAGGATCGCCTGAGCCCAGCAGGT